CAGAACGGCCGCATCCACCCGTGTTTTCCACAGGAACGGCCGTCGGCGGCCGCGTTCCGCGGCGGCGGGCGGGAACACAGCGGGTGACACAGCGCGGAGGCAGCAGAGGCAGGCGGCACCCGCCGCCGCGGGAAGAAACCCGGTGTGGCTCGTGTGCCCAGGCACACGCGTCAGGTGCCTCATCGCGGAGCGCTGGGAGATTTTACGGACGTAGCACACACGTAGCTATCTGACATCTTGGAACGGGCAGGACCTGAGGCCACTCTTCAGGGTAGCCACGGCTTTTTTGGGCAGGACGCGAGAAAACAGGAACATCGCGAGTTGGTATTCAGCACCGCGGTGTCCACGCTCCTTTGCGCACTGATCTGCTACGCAGAAATGTGCTTTTGCTTTCCGACCACTGCATTAAATGACAGATTATTTTTTTAAAGTCACGTCGGACATTTTTTCATCACAGCAGGGACTTATTTCTACATGTGCAGCTACCTTTCCTCCCACAAGTGTGCTCAGCTGCTCCTCCACTGTGACTGCATGTTGCTGGGTGCTGTTTGTATGCAAACAGTTTGACACGGGATGAACCTTACCGTACAAACGGCAAATGCTATACAAAAGGAAGGCTACAACCAGAGCGAGTTAATGTTAGTCATTTAGTTTCAAAGCGCTCATTTTCACACAACATACCCAATCCAGACCTGTGGATGCAGTAAGTGCGAGGGTTATTCTTGCTGCAGCCATTGAAGAATTCAAAGTTCACTGTCAGGAATTGTGACCCTTGGGCTAACCATTAAGCAGACCTAGCAGCTTATAACATGGTTTTGGTTCGTAACAGCATAGCCGTTGAGTATTCAAGGATTTTGTACTATATTGCAAAATAGTAATAATAAAGCTTTGATTTTCTTTTTAATCCTTCCCTTCTCATATTATGCTTCTATGTTTTAGAAGGAATATGGAAAAATATTTAAGATTAAATTTACTTTGTTTCTCAAAGTTGAGACCAGAAAAAGTAGACAATGATCTAAACATTTCTCTGAATTGGAGCAGACTATTTGCCATTTCTTTCCTTGCATTTTAATCCAATTACTGCGGTGCTAAACTGGAAAGTGGAAGAAACTGCGCTCCAATGGCCATCTTGGGGTAAAATAAAATAAATAAATCCCACAGTCACAACAAACTTGCAGAGAAATCAATTGTTGATAAACTGTTGCACTTCTTAGTATAGGATATTTACAATCTGCTATGTGTCTTTTAAAGGTCAAGAATATATATATATATATATTTCAAAATTAAAGAAACTTTGTTTATTAATACTAAAGGAGTTCTCAGAGCAAATCCTGCATTTTGATCGCAAGCTATAATACTCTTCTTATAAATGATGGTATACAACCAGAATCCACATGCTCGATAATGTCAGTATAATTTCTGCATGATTATTCCCTTTCTTTCTGCTTTTCCGTTTTTTCACACCAGCAACTGACCCAAGTGAGGTTTAAGTGATATTTGCATCAGTTATGTCACAGCTCTGAAAAAAGCACTCCTTTGCCTGGAAGGATGAGTGGTGAAATCTGTCCACAAGATGACACCAGCATGCAGCAAATTTCCAGGCAAATCCCACGACATAACAAAACTATGTATTCCTTGTTCTCAGGGGGATTTTTCCATGCACATCTTCCTTCCTTCACAGGGACTTTATTTGCTCGTGCTGTTGTCCTGGCTTCAGTGAAAACTGTGTGAGTCAGGGCTGCCACAGTGACAATTCTCCCCTGGTTCTTCCAGTGCCTTCAGTACAAGAACAGATTGTGCCTCAATTTACTTTGCAGAAAATGATACTAAGTGCCTCACCATAGTTTGGACAGTTTTTTGCAGAGCTTGGGGGGTTGTTCTTGGAACACTTTGGACAAAAATGTTTCTTTTTAAAGCTGTTACCATAGTTGCTTTTCATTCTGCTAATGGTTGTATGTAATTTAAGTAGGGTGTTTTTTCAGTGGTGTTTTTGGTGTTTTTTTGTTGAGTTTTTTGTTTGTTTGTTTGTTTTGTTTTTCACAACCAAGACCTGAACTCTAAAGAGGAAGAGCAAGAATGTCTCCCTTCCTTCCACCCAATCCCAAATTCTGATTACAGTTAAGTGAATGTTACTAAGCCATTTATAGGGACTAGAAATAATTAAGACAAACAATTTAAGTGGCCAGGATCTTCAGATCTTACAGCCTGTTTTAGCAGTACTTTAAAATCCATTCCATGATAAAAGATCTTTCCTAAAGTGTATCAAGAACTAGATTACAGAGATCTTTATTGGAGTTGTTCTTTTTACCACTAATTGTACAGTTGCACTAATACATAGCAGTGAACTCAGTGTGCAGAAAACCAAAGCAAATGTTGAACCTTCTTTAGCACAAATTCAGAGACACAGATCCAGGAGCCTTTAATCAAAATTCCAATTAACTTCAAAGAGTTTTACTTGAGTAAAAATTGAAAGCAGAATCTAGTACAGAAAAATTACCATTTTAATTGCTACTAGCCTGATTAAGCAATTCAGCTTCTAGTTCATACAAACACTTATACTGACACTAAAAATTTATTAATGGTCATTTATATTCTACAAAGCCTAATCCTGCCAAAGATTAGTGTTTGGTTTTTACCCTTGAAGGCTGCAGCAAAAATCAGCATAGCTTCAAAACACCCCAGCACATCCCTGAAGAAATGCTGGTTGATGAAGCTTCAAGGGACGACCTTGCAGCAGAGGCAAGCCTTGGCAGCCCAGAAGCATGGTGCTGCCACGACTCTGTAAAGTCACAGGAGCTGGCAGCCATGAGGAGCCATAATGCTGATGCCATTTGCAGTGTGTATCACTGACTCAGTGAGTGAACTGGCCTCTCTCTCTGCCGTGCTGTATGTTTAATTATCAGTAGATGGCACTCATCATGCTGCTCTGCAAGCGCAGGTCCATTTTATGTTTCTGGTATGTGGCCTTGTAACACATCACAGAAATAAAGGACAGGGAACGGGCATGGTGAGTGCTTCTCTGGCCCGGGAGAGCACCCCACTCAGACCCCTGAGCGACCTCAGCAAGTGGAGTGGGCTGGGGCACAGGCAGGATCACGGGGTGTCAGCGCTGTTAAGCCCAAAGGCATCATAAAAACTACCCTGTTGGCATGCCTGCATCAGTCAATACTTTTAATGTTAGTTTCTTAAAACGCATGGAAAGGATGCATCTGCCCTCTGCTGTCAACTGGCAGCTCCTCAGTTTATTCGGAGCCCTTGCAACAGCAGCCAGCAAACAATGTGACAATGCGTTTAAAGCCACACTTGCTGTGCATTCCTCACCTGGCTCTGATACTCTCCCGGCACAGGATGGATGGCCAGCGAACCACAGCCCCAGTGCACAGTCGTGCTCTGCCTCCAGGGGTTACACAACACATACAAGGAAAACAAACAGGTAAGTCTCCTTGCCCTGGCCAAAGGAGCTAGTCCTAGGGGATAGAAGAAAGATCACCTGACCCAAGCTTAGGTCCTTCTGAGAGCTCTGGTTGGAGTTTGCCATGAAGAAAAATACCTCCTATGGGTTCAGTGTCACTTCACTTCCCCTCTTAGCCCCTTTTTGTCCAGCATGGGGTTTCTCCACCCCTCACAAGGCACAGATAACAGTTGTCTACTTCAACCTTTCAACCTCTTTAAATCACAGCACCCAGCATTTCATTGTGGCCACCCTTGGGCATAGATCTGAGGCACCTGGAGTACCATCTAAGTGGAATGGTAAGGACTGAATCCCAGACTGTGATCCTCTAAAGACTGCACAGCTGGCACTTGTCCCTTAGTGTCACCTCAACTTGGTGGGCAGCTCAGTTTTCCTCTCCGCTTTGGCTCAGACCGGGGTGTGACTGGGATCCACCAGGTGTTTCTTGCTAGTCTTCCCAGAAAAAGGTCAGTGCAGAAAGTAGCAGCTACCATTGTTATTTGAAAATGCTGCTGAAAGAGAACTTGTTTTCTTACCTGTTAAAGAATAGCTCAACAGTCATAGCACACACCCGGCAGTGCTGGTGATCAAGATCCAGTCCCTCCTCTGTATTCAGGGCCATGAAAACCCATCTTCTGGGAGGCTGCCCAAAACACCAGGTTATTTTGTATCTCAGGAGCAAGGGGAGAACATATTCACCCACTGAAGTTGCCTCACTCTGTGCAAGATGAATTCAGAGTTCAGTGGGCCAGGGAACAGGTGTGACACATCTCACCTTCATGGTCATTTTCCTAGTCAAGAGGAGATCTGTGTCCCAATCCCGGACTGAGTGTACATGTTATCCAGTGCCCAACTCATAGCGAAATACCTAAACAGGTCCTAGTGAAGGTGCTGAACCACTGAGCTCCACTTTCCAGGATAAACACTTAGCTAGGGAGCAGTCTTCCCTCCCTGTGGGCCACTTGGACTACTGAGTACTTCTGTGTCACAGCAAGAGTGACATATGCTGGTTTGGCATACAAAGTATGCAATTCAGATACATTCCTTTACAGAAACTCTAGTAGGATTTTCAGTGCTCTGAAGCCTAGACTCGAAGTGTGGGTGGGCAAGGAAAATAAGTGCTTTTGTGGTTTGTGTTTCTTTTTTTCTAAATATGTGGTTTCAATGAAATTGAGTTTTGTTGTTCCAATTAATTTGAGCTTTGTTGTTTTAGTGAAAGCCAGCCCATCTGTGGACATATGATATGTCTTTGAAAAGCCTTGGTTCCCAGATGCTCTATAGAAACTTCTTCAGCTGTTCAT